TGTTCTTAAAAATAATTGTCTCAGTTTGTTGCAAGTGTGAAAAAAGTAGAAGGAAGAGTTATTTCTGTATTGGAAATATCCAATTTATTCCTTTTATTTTTGAAGCTGAAATTAGACTTCTTCTTACTAGTAGTCGCCCATGTTTTTCAATGTTCGTGTTCAAAGTTTGGAAGTGCATAGACACAGCATCACGCAGGTGACGCCATTTTATTTATTCTTGATATCTGCTTGACATCGTGTTCAGTTTTCCAGGAGATCGTATTATTAACCTCTTGGCAGAATCAGCTATTTATACTAAAGTTGGTCACTGACATTTGATCGCTAGGCACTTTGCCGCTTCGGAACGGTCTAAGCTGAAAGGCATGCACGATAACAAAGAACACACTGTTACAACTTTACGCTAACGTTGTTTCAAATTTCAAATAAAATTCAGCACCAAAAAACATGATCTTCAGGTACCTCGCAGCAAATTGTGTACATTCTATTCCAAATGAAAATGGCAAATCAATATCTCCCGGTAAAAGATTGCACTTGTCTTTCAAAATCCGAACGAAACAAAGCCGATATTTGGCACGGTAGGTTTTAGTTTTGCTGTGCGCGTGCATTTTGTTACTATTTTTCTAATGATTTCTTTATCTATTTCTCCTTTTTCCTAAATACTCAGTCAGTCCTAACCGTCAATGATGAGGACCACAAATTCCCAATTTTCTCTCTGGATGCCCAATATCACGACAGTTTTTAAATCTTCGGGCCGCGCCTAACAAAATAATACGACGCGTCTTCAGTCCAGGCGGATATGGAGACGGAGCAACGGGTGCAGCATTTATTACATCAAATTTAGACAATTGTATAAACCTTAACTATGTGGACATCCTACAGACGCCGAGTCGTCAATGGAATGAAGGTTAATTCCTTACTCCGTCTTTCTTTATCTAATCAATTTATATCATAAAGATTTTCTATGATGTCCGAACTCTTGCAGCAACACAGCGGTTCATTGCATGCCACCACAAGAACACTGTCTCTTTAATTTATATACTGCATGCCATTCAAACGCTTACATGTGACTGCTTTTATACAAGAAATACATAGTCTGTCAGGAAAAACTTCATCAAGAGGTTTTGAGTACATCTAACGATACGCCGGCCTTTTTTTTCGTCTGCACAACAGACGCACGAATAAGCAGTTCTATGCTTTCATAGGATAAAATGCAAACTTTTAGGAGGTCGACAATGGTTTGCTAGAAACCGCTTAACAATTATACAGCTTCTCCTTGTATAGAAAGGTTTTTTTTGGCTACAATAACGAAAAATTTGACCATTATAGGACTACGCGCGTGATCGATTAACAAATAGTCAGCGACGGGGGGAGCCAATAATATTCCTTTATTTGCAGTAGACCACGAGAAATATTTTTTATTATTATATGGCTGTGTCTCACAAGGACTGGGAACTACCGAACTCACGAATTTGAT